CCTTTATGAAAACCCAACAGTTTCCCAACCCTTCCTTTCACTGTTTTTTTTTCAGGCAGAAGAGGTGATTGGCCCACTGTGATTAATTATATATGATGCTCAATAAAGAGTTGTAATTATAAACAGATCGGGGAGTAGAATTATTTCAAGGCTCCTTTTTGTGTAGAAGTCTGCTTACAAAAAAGAGCAACTTGTAAATGATCACTTTTAGTGAGGTAACTAGAAATGTATTATCTGTAGTCCGTCCCCCCCCCATTACTCAAAAAAAAATATTTAATTGATTCCTTTTATTTATTAATTTTGTATTTTCTGTGTTGACATCATTATTTCTTGCATTCAGCAGTGGCAAAAATGGTGAAAACATTATGTTGTAGGGTGTCACATTTTTGTAATTTTGATATGCAGTTGTGAACTCAGTTGCGTGGGGCATGTGGATAAGGAATCATGAAGTAGTCTTTTGAATAGATAACATGAGTGTTGAAGCAATAAGAACCTATGGACATATAATAGGAGAATGCTACTCCTTTTCAAGGTTGACTCTCTGCCACAGCTAGCCTAAAGGCTGCAAAACTGGCAGCAAAACTAGCACAGGATATCAAAATCATGGGCCTGATTCACCACCCTTCTACACCCACTCTGCAGAAGTCTAAAAGGATCTCATCCTATTCTCATTTAGTCAATAGCAAAATTCATTCTGACTCACTGAGAGCAGGATTATGACCTAGGTAATGGGCAGCTGTTTATAAGTGCAAAAACAAATGCAAGTCATCTCAGGTTTGAAGTGACAACTCTCTAATTTTCAACAGTTAAAAAGCATTTTTAAAGAACAAAGGGACTCGAGTTCCCTTGAGAAATAACTAGCAATTTTCAGGCAATACAGTATTAAAACAGCTGGATGTCTCAGTCAATGAGAGAGGATTGATTTAGTTGGCTATGCTCATTTTCTGCAGACGAATTCATAGAATTTGCCTCTTTCAAAGGAATGTTAAAAATGTTCAGCAAAGTTATAAATAAAGATGCTTTGAAAAAAGGAGAAGATTAACAATTTTAATTTGGGACAAAAATTTTGAGTGAATCTAATAAATACATTATATAGTAAATATTTTGACAGCAATCTAAACTGATATTTTAATATTTCAAAGATAAGTGCAAAATTTGGTTAAATAATTTAAGATTTATTCCAGGGGCATCACAGACCTGAGAGGAAAAAAACCTTTAAGGGTAAAATTATAATTACAGATGCAAAGCACTTGGTGTGTATTTTTAAAAACAAAACAAAAAAACCCCCATAAAATCGGTAGAATTGTAAGACTTACAGCAAAGATTAAAATCTGGACATTATTATTATATGTGAGACTGATAATCCATACTGGATTATGAGTGTCAAGCATTTGAAGCAGCAAACAATTTCAAATTAAAAAAAACTAGACATAATTCAGGATGAAGTTTTAAAAGCATGTTGTCTACATCACCAGCAAATGTTTTACAGATACTCTACAGAGAGAGTGACTGAGATTTTAGGAGGAAGAATCTCAGTATTTATTTCTGGTGTAAATTTAAATCAAGAGGCTCAATCCTCGGACTCAACAGCACAAAGCAAATGGGAAGCTGCTCTAAATGGGCAGCTAAGGATCCCCTGACATAGGGAAATACTTCAGTAGTGCAGGGTCGTCTTAGGCAACTCTATGCCACCCACTCCTCACTTCCTCCACATAGGAGGAGGGAGTACCAAGGGCAGGGAGAAAGCACAAAACTGCTATGGGAGTGTGGGATTGTATGGGACTATCAGAGCCACTGTAACTTTAAGCAGCCCTTTGGCTGCTCTAAATTATGCCACAAGCCATTTCAGCTCCTCGGATAGGAGGAGAAAAAAGATGTCTTAAAGACACCTTCCCTGCACCTCATCTTCATCAAGCCTAAACTCTGCACAGATGAGCATTGAGCCTTCAGGACTTTTAAAAAGGTGTTAGTAATGTGAATAAAGAAAATTTTATACTTTTTAAAAGGGGGAGGGAAATTAGAAACATTTGGCAAAACTTGCACTTTAAGAATGAAATGACTGTTAGAAATGAGAATGTGAATCTATCATGATTATTCATAAATTGAAACCAACCATGTAGTATGAGAAACTGACAAATCAAACAAGTGATGAACACAAAGAAAACATGGTCTCCAAGGCTATTTATTTGCAAATAACTGCAGAGGAAAAAAAAGATATGAAGCAAGGAGAATATTTACTGATAATCAGGGTTGTTTCACCATGACAATATTTAGGGAAGTAACAGTTGAGAAAGGTAAAGGATCACACACAAAATCCATTTCTTCTAACAATGACAAGGGAAAGGCATTAGAATTTGGAAAGCTATATTATCCCTGGAGCCACCCTGCTTCACTGTAGAATTTCTGCCTAGTACTTTCCCCACTCAACAGTCTGCGTGGCTCCCTGCTACAGTTTCAGATAATGGTACATATATCTTCACTAAAGCCACAATGAAGAACCTGATTTTGCAGTTTTCATTCGGGCATAACACCCAGTGATTTTAAATCAGTAGGAGTCTTCCTGAATAAGGACTGCAGACTCTCGAGTGAAAAGGGCAAAAGTCATTGGAAATAATTTTCAAATGTCAAGGACTTTGGGCATTGTTTTGTATCCCAAATAACCTTTATTTCCCCATTGTAGTGCAACTAATTAGTGTGTGTGTGCGCATGCTAGGATGACCGTGCAGATTTAAATGTGGCACGCTAACTGCCAGTCTAGAACTGACCTTTGCAAACCCAGCCTGACTTTCCATGCAGAATAAAGATTAAAAGTAATCTCATTTTTTATACGAGAGATAGAGGGCTTGCTAATCTGAGATATATGGGCATAAACAACTATGTATGTTGAAAAAACTGATACCATGCATGTATGTGTTCATTCACATAACTTGATTAAAATGAAGTTACTCTTGACTCAATCATATGTAAAGCAACAGCATCAGTATGTGTCAATATATTCTATAGCAACTTCTGAAATTTTATATCAAAAGTTTGAAGTAAGAATCTCTGCTACCCTGTATGTACTGGTACAGACACACAACAAATTATGGACCCAATCCTACAACCCAGCACAGTGCCTGCAAAGTGTGCATCTAGGCCGAACTCTACTGTGGCTTCCTCCAAATCCCACCCTGAATGGGATGTCCCACAGTGTGAAGGGGAGTGCAGTGCAAGAATTGGGGTGGGAACCCAAAGGAGGCTGGCCTGCTCACTATCCCATCCTCAGTTCCTTTGCAAAACAGGAACTGCATGGGACATGAGATTGCTTGCCACAGAGCTGGACTTCCTTCCATGGGCACATGCTCCTCTTCACACACAAATGTGGAAGGGACTGAATGACTTGCCTAGGCCAAAACAAATCTGTGGCACAATGAGGAATAGAATCTTCTGTCCTGAGTCCTGGTCCCATGCTTTAACAAACAGACACCCTTCCTCCCCATTAACTGTCTTAGGAAAGAGCCATTGTTATTCTGAGGCTCCTGATCAAAAGCAATAATTTATAATTCTCACATGAACTAGCAAGTCAACTGTTCATACACCCAGCATTCTCATTTCTTCTTGCTCATTTTCCTTTTACTCCTTGCTTCCTCTATCCCATCCCTCTCTGTTGGTTGATAGGACACAGATGGGAGTTATGAGACCTGGATTCCATTCCTGGCTCTGCATCTGACTTCACGTAGCCTTGGGCAAGTTACTTAACCCTTCTGATCCTCAGGTTCCCCATCCATAAAATGAGGATGATATAATGCTATCCACTTTTTGTAAAGCACTTTGAGATCTATGGATGAAATGATTTTCATAAAGTACTAAGCACTACCATTATAATTACCTAACCTATAATGCTTCTAATCACCATGGTAGCTATGAGTGGGATTTCTCCTTACAATTTTGGAAGTGAAGTAGTACAGCATTAGGAAAAGTGAATTTTAGTTTACTGTATTCTTAAAAGGGGACTGTCAAAGCTGGTAGGGCTTAAAATTAGATTTAGCAACTTTGTATTGTCCTGAGTGCATGTATATAAACCATACTTCCACTCTACCTGCCAAGTTATTGTTAGCAGGATAGAAACTGAGGGTTTTTTGTAGTATTCATATTATATTCCTAATACAAATTTCAAAAGCAATACAAACTGCTTTCAGTGAAATTTTTGGGATAAGATTCAGTTTTAGGATTCAACCTTAAGGGAAGGGAAAAAGCTTTCAATGATACCCCTGAATTCCCATGCAATAGGTTGGTTTCTTGGGGCCTTTAAAGGAGCAATGAACACTCAGTACCTTGCAGGATTGGGCACTTGGAAGGTAGCCCCGGTTATGCAAAAATATCTGTTTGCACTACTGTTTCCAATCTATTAATTAAAGATCAGGCTCACAGATGAGTTTATAAAGTAAGGATGGATTGTGGTATATGTTTAGATGGGTTCCCAACTGGCATTTAGCCACACTCATTTACCATCTCACCATCATGCATTTCCAGAGGTTTGTATGTTTTTCCCTTTCAGCGGGGGTCAGAAATAAAAACAGTCTGGTGGCCAACCCTTTGACGCTACTGCAGAAAACCATTTTACATTCAATCAATGCAGCACAAATCTGAAATCATTCCATTAATAAAATACAACTGTATTGAATTATTTTTACTTTGATACTCACCAAGCAAAGCAAAATCTGTCACTATTAATTGAGTAGTGTTCTTCATGAACAATAAAGGGACCTCAGATCTTCCCTGGCTCATCGGCAGTGTACACTGACACAAAGGCAGTATGTAGATGTGGAGCCTTATTCAAGCAATACTCCCTTGGAAATAAATGGGAGTTTTGCCTGAGTAAAAAGTGCAGGATCAGGCTGATTTTAATCAAATTTAGTCCAATGTTTCATAAGTAAATATACTAAGGTTTAATAGAGCAAACACCTGTAACTCACTATGACATAACCATCAATCCATTACCATTGAAGATGAGTTCTAACCTGTTCTCAGCATCAGCACTCCATTTTGGAGACAGCAACTCAAAGGATTTTGTAAACTTCACCACCTGTTGTATTAAAAAAAAATCATTCTATCTGAACTTGGGATTTTTCATGAAAAATTACATATGTATTCAACAGCAATGTAAAGTTTTATATATTAATTATATTTTTAGCCAGGGATCTTAGACTGAATGTTCAATCACACATTCCTCAGGTGGACTATTCATGTTCAAAAATTATACTGCAACACAGAACATAAGTAAACTATAAAGATACTCAATTGATTTTTTTTCATGCTCCTTCCCAAAATAGTATTTTTCCTACAATGTTTTGCTACAGCATAGAGAGAGGCTCACAATGACTTAAAAGGACCAGTTCTTCATTCTATCATAGTCCATAAATGAAGCAGCTAAATAATCTGAAAAACAACCAGAAATAATCAGAGGAGAAACACAACAACATCAGTTGACCAGATTAACTCCAACTGAACTTCCTCTAATATATGTAATATGGCCAGATAGTCAACAACTTTTAAATACAACTTCCCATTTAAATTAATTGTTAATTTCAGTGGGGAGTTATTCTTAACAGCTGATGGCATGTTATGGCCTATAGAGAATATTTCTGGCTTTTAACAGCTGGCACCAGGTGCCTCAATGACTTACATTTCCTCCAGTGTATTGGAGTTATGATTCACAGTCCTTGCAGATATGCCCGATTATCAGACTTACAAAGAACCAGTGTACATTCTTAAAGAAATGTTCAGCAGTCTGCAAATGTCAGTGTTGCAGAGATTCTGTAAAGGCACAGGCTGAATGGTGCATGAAATCAAATTCTTGATAAGAACTTTTTATATTGTTAACCTCCTGGTCTTTAATATAACTTTAGAGTAAAATAATTATTCCTTTGATAAGTGGACAGAATATTCCCCATTGCACCATCTTGTCTTGGTATATGACCTTCAGATAAACATGGCTTTTTTATAAGTAATACCCACATTGTATTACCATGGGTTGTTTCAAGCTACAATTAATGCCATCTCCAGTGACACAAATGTGAATGTTTGCCAGGAGTTTATCTGCAGCTCGCATCTCTGAAAGAACACGATGGCATGTATTCCATCGAACAGGCTATTTTCCAAAATCACAGTAATAATAATAATAATACGCTTACATATGGGCTCAGAAAGAAACATGTTATCTTTAACTCTTACCCCACTTACAATTCCAGAAACTGCAAGTCAAATGAAAAGTTTAGAGAATGTAGGGGTCAGTCCTCCTGCCTCCTCCGTGGCTATGAAAGTTCCCAGATTCAACAGATCCAGTGCTGTTCCACTGGATGTGTGTGCAAAGAGGACACAGCCTAGCTCCACTGTCCCTCTCCCACTTTTCTACACGGGGGAAAATGTGGATGGGACAAAAGAAAACAAGATGGAGCACCCCCAGACAGGAGGGAGGCAATAGAGGTGTAGAATACTGTAGCCTCAGGGCACCAGCAATTTTTAAATTTTCACACACGAAGCCCTCCCCCGAAAAAGAAATTTTTTACATGAAACCAAAATGGTGTCTATTTGAACAGAAAATACTGAAGGATTCAGGGAAATATTTGTGAATTTACATTTGAACAAAAATAAAAGATGCAAAACTACAAAAGCCATAAAAATAGTTACAAAGGCATTTAGTGCCTATTTGCTGAAATGCATGCAGAACAAATTAGTTTCTAAAAGATGCACATTAAATAACTGGTTTATGGTTCTCTGGATCTGGTTGTGTATATTAAGGCTGCTTTCAAGCACCACCAATTCAGTAAGATATTTTTAAAAATGACAATTTTAGCAGTGAGTTTCAGGAAGATGATACAACAAAGACTTTTTTCCTTAGAGCAATTGCATTGTGGAGAAAAGGAAAACAGAAGACAAGATGGATTAAAAGCATTTAATTGTTTTTATAACCACACCAGAGTAGCAGTTTGCTTCTCAGTTAAATGCTGCTACCATCACACAGAGACCAGGGTCTCAAAAAAAAAACCCAAACAAACAAAAACACACAGGCAAGTAAGAACTATATAACTACAACTGGATCACTCCTCTTGAAGTCAATTCCATAAAGAACTTGGCGTGACTACAGTAAAAATCTTTAGGTGAGCAAAAGGGACTAGAAACAGATGGTGTGGTTTTGCCTTGAGAAAAATAAATATAAAGTCTATATAACTTTAAATAAGAATTATATATTGAAAAACATTCACTGTGCAATATGGTACTTACATTTTATATGTAAAAGCCTCACCACAATAAAAACAGACATTATCCCACTCATGTATTAGACCTTCTCTAAAATTTGAAGGACCACTTACTGGTGATTCAATGTCTTCCAGGAGTAACACTGAACATCGTTCACACTTCAACAGAGTCTGGGCTCGACGCATGATTTTCTTAACAATTTTCTCTAAGTCCGTCTGTTCCTCAAAGAGGTCATTAACTACCTCCAGCAAAGCCTGCATAAGAGGACAGGAAATTATTACTTTGGTTGCAGAAACGACGATTAAATGATTTACTTGTAAAGATGTGCACTCTTTGGGTCTGATTCTGATCTCGTTACATAGATGAAAATCTAAGAGTAACTCCCCATATGTCTTCATTCAAGCAAAATTCTTACTGATTTTAGTGTCAATTGAATCAATGGGAGTTCTTATTGAGTAAAGAGTGAGTAAGAACTGAATAATGATGTCTGAGTTTGGCCCTACATAGGCCCAATCCAACTCTATTGCAATCCATGGGATTTTTTCCATTTACTTCAATGGATTTTGGATTGGATCCAAGAAGAGAGAGTTTCAAAGTTTCATAGGAGTATTTAGCTACCAGGGTTTATATGCTTCATGATGGGATGGAAAACTGTGTCTTTTAATAACACGTCCGCATGTGCTGACCTATGGTTGGGTGGCCAAGATTTGTTTTAGAATATTATGATGATGCCTGTAAAATAATCCTGCTTTACTCATTTATTTTAAAAAGTTCATTGCCATTTCAAACACAAGACATGGCTAGGGAGAGACAAGATGTCTAAATATTTTTACATTAGACAGTCACACTGATCCTTACTTTACAATCAGCTTACACAAACCTTTATAAATCCGAATGAACCCATTTTCTCAATTAAAAGTAGACCTAAGATCTGATGAAAAGGTACCAGACATGCAAAAACATTCCACGTGAACATTTTCCACCAAGATAGGGAGGTATTTGAAGGTGATCTGTAAATGGGGAAAAAACATTGGACCAGATCCTTAGCTGGTGCAGGTAGGCATAGCTCCCTTGAAGTGGTGGAGTGCTGATTTAGACTAGCTGAAGATTGAGCCCCTTGTGTTTGCTTTCTTTTTTTTTCATTATGATGTGCGAAGGAGATCTGAAATGTGTTTTGTGTTTGCTCGTTTTTTCTAGAAATATCAGGAATACGAAGCCTTGCCTTACCCGTTTTTGCAGGAGGGACTAGAGGACTGCAGCAGGAACTTTCTCAGCCCTCATTTGAAGGGACAGGAATGTTAAATCTTTCACAAAGGGGCAGATTCTGATCACACTTAAGGTTGGTCTACACACAACTTGAGCTCTGATTTCACTATATCAGTTTAGAAACTAATTTAGTAAAATCAGTGTAACCCCCTTCAGCGGGCACTTATTTCATATTCATATTCCTATAATAATTTTGCTTAAGTCAGTTCTTTACCAATTTAAGGTAAATCAAAATAGGGCACTTCTAATCTGAAATAAAAGTCTCAATATAAAAGGCCTGCACTAGTTACGCTAAATCAATTTTAAAGCTATTTAGTCAAATTGGTGCTCAAATTGTGTGTAGACAAGATCTTATTAGCATCTTACTTTATATACGTATATCTACACTGCAATGAAAAACCCGCAGCTGGCCAACTCAGTCTCAAAGGGCTTGGGATCCAGGGCTGTTTCATTGCTGTGTAGGCTGCTGGGCTTGGGCTGGAGCCCGAGCTCTGGGACCCATTTGCAAAACAAGAAAATATATATATATTTTTTTAATTTAAAAAAGCTGTTAAACCTTTCTCATACTACATGAGACAGCAAAAAAAAAAAAAGGCACAAACACAATAGTTCTTTCCTTCACAGGCAACGTTTACTACTTAACCTATATCTGCACCTTAAGAGTAAATCTGATAAATAAACACCCAAATTTAAATTTACAACTTAACCATGAGTTGAAAATATTTTTAAATGTAGTTTCCTTTTCTATTTTAAATATAATGGGCCAAATTCTTTTTAATATAAATCAACCAGGGGTGTTGGAAGAATTTTTATGGTGGGGGTTCTGAGACCCACAGAACCAAATGGTATACGCTATACATAATGGAAACCACTTCAAGCCAAGAGGTGCTGCAGCACCCCCAGAACCCCTACTTCTAGTACCTGTGAGTAAACTGAAGACACTGAAGTTACACTAGAGATTAATTTGACCCATTATTTTGTGTCACTGGGTACAGCACTTGCATTAAAGTGTCTCCATATCACTAAATATATAAAAGAAAATTAGAAGTCTGAGCCTTGCTAATAAGCAAACCAGGGTCCAAATGGGAAAAATCTTGATTTACACAGATTACAATCTAAACCATACAAGCTTCTCTATGTTGGCTTATTCAGGGTTTGCTGTCTTGCCAAATCAAGGTCTATATTTACAAGACAATTTAATTCAGTTTAATTGAATCCCATCTAAAAAAATAATAAAGCAGTTCAAACTGACAACCAAGATGATATCAAAATGAGCTTGCTTGAATGTCCATGTACATTTTGTCAAGCAAATTCCACAAAACTTTTCTTCAGATAACACATACAGCCACAACTGGGATGACAGGCCCCAAATTTGAGCCAACTTAATATGGATATAATAAGCAATGCCTCAAGGAAAGTAAAATAGGCACTAAAACATAATCTACCAAGAACTTTTAAAATAATAACTCATGCATGTGTAAAATAGCAACTGTACAAACCAACATTCCATTGTTCTGTGCTCTTCCTGCAACTCTAGAGTGTCACTGAACACAGGTCACCACAGAGCTGCCAAATGGCAATGGGTTTTGTTAATACTTACTTGAGGTTGAAATAGTGATCAAGAAGGGAAGGACAATTCTCTCCAGGACAATTCCCTGAGCTGCGCTCAATCCCCAGAAATTGCCATATTCTAATAAAGAGTGAGTGTGAAACATTTAGGGGAGGGGAGGAGGTATTCGAGTGCCATGAAAAATCACCATAATATTTTCCTGTTTAAAACTACCCATCTGGCTAAGGAGATTAAAATGAGACTTCCTCCAGAGTCCATTATCAGTTTCCCTTCAGAGTGATCTGATGATTTAAAATGTTTTATTTTATTTGTTTACTTCTTTCTTTGTGCCACAACTTCATCAGAAATGTCAGCATGCTTCTATAAAAGGGAAACGTCACCACCAGTGTTTCGTCTCAAGAGAAAATAAGGTTTATATGACAGAGGATTTGGGTTCCATCAGCTCAAGTCTCAAAATTAAAGACTAGATTTTTTTTACCACTAATAAAGTCCCACAGAGCAAAAGACAGCTCTTGGCAATTCCTCCTCAATCTGTCCTATGTAAGTTTAGATAACATTAAAGAATTAATTGCAAATAACCAAATCCCTGAGCAGCTTCAGTCACCATATTGTTAAAAAAACTGCCACAAAAATGTCTCCTTCTCCCCCTCTCTCCCAAAATTGCAGTGGTCTATACTCAGAGCTGTACAGGAATAAAGACCTCATGATCTACAACCTAGAGCTCTACACTATTGGAAAGGGGAGACTCCTAGCTTCCCAATGGGACATAAAGCAAAGATGTCTGGTCCTGGTAGATACCAAGATACTCATGATTACATAATTATATATACAAAATCTAAGGTAACATTTGGAGATTTTAATATTTGTTCATTATAATTTCCCTCTCCTTACAAATCATACCTAGTTGGACACATAGGGTGAAATCTTGGTCCCACTGAACTCAGTGAGAGGACTGAACAAAGGGAGTTTAGCTTCACAGGAGGAGAGATTTAAGAAAAACAATACCAATAAAAAAAACTCACTAGAACATTTCCATGATCTTTTTTCTGCAAAATATGTGTTATGTACAGAATGCATAACGGTGTGGCTTAAAGGTTGTGGTTGTACTCCTTTGGAGTACCCTGCATAACTCACTCCTGTAGGCAAATGAAATATTACAAATACAGGATGCTTGAGGGTTGATATTTCTGGAATTTTAAAAAGATCTGAATATTGTAACTCATTCTACTCTGCAGCATGGGTTCTAAACACACCTATCTCAGCACAATAAACTTGAAATTGTCAACAGGAAACAAACATTTAACATCAAAAGCAAATTTATCTACCACCATCTAAGCCTGTAGCTTCAAGGACATTCACCATGCACTTAAAAGGTTCTCTTGGGATTATTTTGAACTAAAACTTAATTGGTTCCTTAAAACTGTCTGTTCTGGAATTTGAAGGAAAGAGAGATGTGCTTGATAGCTGTCCAACGTGCTGCTCTCTACTTACTCTGCTTCTGTCATATTCCTTCCTTGAAGCAGCAAATAGCTGAGCGTTAGATATGGCAATTCCACAAAATGGGAGGTACATCTGCATCACCTGTTTCATAGAGAAATTTTAGGTCATTAAGAAACACTATTGAACGTAAGCATCCATATTATTTAGCAATGAGATCTGAGGACACTTGGCAACTCTCAGGAAGTGCTCTGCACCCTTAAAGTCTTCCATTATATAAGTAAAAACAAAACAAATTATCTGTGAATGGACCCTACAGATTGGGGGAAAGAACTATTTCAAACATTAGCCCCCCAAACCAAACCAAACCAGACTCAAAACTATTTGGATTTATGGATTCAGCTGGTGAGGATCTTTGCTATTATTCTGACAAATCCATTGCAGGATTCTCAGCAAGTGTGGAAATCTGTCCTCAGGTGGAAACCGCATTAAAATCTTGAATACTCTGGAGTTTCCCCAAGTCAAAGGATTCCCTTTCTTTTGGGATTGCCTCTGTCATGGTAACCCCTTCCCCTCCCCCCTCAAACATGCAACATCTGAAGATGGCAAGCGCAGCAGAGACTGATGCTCCTACTGACTCTGAGAGGAACAGAGTTGAAGATCAAGCTTCAGGAGCTGTAGGGAGGGAAGGAAGGAAGGAAGAAGGGAACAGCATCTGGTTGAGTAGAAATGTGGCAAAAGGGGAAGAAAATTCAAAAAGTTCATATGCATTTAGGTAAGAATCTAAACTTGAGACTACACTGAATCTTTTAAGGTTCACTCCATTTACTTTATTTAAAAAATACTAGGGAGGGAGGTGAGAACCACAGTGACAGGGAATGAAGTGGCCACAGATTGTGCTGGCTCTGTATTTCAAATGAACAAATCCTATAGCAAATACTTCAATAACTGTAAAGTTTAGGATTTTGTGCATAAAGTTCACATGAGGTGAGGTGAGGTGACTTCACAATACCAACAAGAAAGTAAAAACATAAGAATACTGGTACTTTCAAACCAGAGCTTTGAAACAACAGATACAGCATTGGCACCGCTGGCTAGTTCTGGCCCAGTCCTGTGAGACACTGAGCACCTTTTATGAGATGCCAAGAGTCCTCAAGGTCTGTCAAAGTCCATTAGAACTGAGGGCATTCAGACCTGTACCAGGACTAAGCCCCTGGTCTGAAAGTGATGATGAAGGAGAGGAAGAAGGCAATCAGATAACTAGAGGGATACTGGAAGAGATTATGGCTAGACAGAAAAAAATCAGTCTATCTTGACATGCTTGGAAGGAATAATTGATGAGATGAATACAAAAATAAACATCACGGAGGAGAATAGTTTGGTTTTCTACATCCAATCAGACTTACATGTGAATGGTATAATGTCTACCTTGTTTACAAAACAAAGCACAAACAAAAATAACAGTCTCTTGGAAAGCAGGGTTGAAATCTTGGAGCCCGAGGTGAGCTTCCATAATGTATTAGTAATAGAGACCCCAGCACAGATGGAAGCCTCAGGTCCTGTGATATTTACAGAACAGTTGTTGCTTACCCTGGTTGGTATTATGCCAAGAACAATCTTTTGTGCAGTTGTTGACTGAGCAAAGTGAGACATAACATTCAATTCAGTGGCATTTCTCTGTTTGTCTGTAAAGACCATATCTGATCAATTTCCAAATTTCAGGGAACTTCCTAGTAATCAATGGGATGAACCCTACTGATTTGATTGATACTTCCCTTACCATTGTGTTGGTCTCACCTGTCCATTTACTTAGTGTCATGTACTTCTGTACCATATACAGACTAGTCACAGAACTTGCTTATACACACCAGCTGTGTTCATCATAAGACCCTTTAATGCTCTGCCAGGAATGGCTGAGGTTTGTTTAAATAAAGTATTTTACACAATGCCGCCAAGTGGCTAAACAGCATAGTACAATTTAGCATTCCATTACACTTGGCCTTTGTACAAAGATGAGAATTCTGAGAGTATCTCCTGAAAACATGGAGTTGCTCTGGTGTGTAGCAGCTATGAAACTGTGATGTCTTTGTTTTCTGTCTTTTTCACCTTTAAAGTAATAATTTTGTTCTCCTAGTTACTGCAGCCTGCAACAGGGGAGAGAGACAGAGAGACACACACACACACTGTTCTCCCTCAAAGACTCTCCTTTGTTCTTTCTTATGGTGTTTCTCCTTAAACTAAAATGATGCATTTTAGACAGAAGGTACGTTTGCTCTTTATCAATGGGATGGCAACAATTGCTCTAATCTTCAAATGTGTCAATTTTAACATTCTTTTCTACATTAAAAAAATCCAAATTGGTAGGTTTGACTGATTATGATCAGTGGGAAAGGCCATTCAAAATGAAAATTAAAAGTAAAAACACAACCGTAATGCATGGAAGTGCCAAAGAGACCAAAGGGAGTGGGTATGAAGTGGCATGCCCTCACACTGACAGAGAGGCTTTTTATGCTTGGACAGAGGGGAGCTTAAAAATGGAAAACCTGACACAGAAAGGGGTGGTGAACTAGAAGAGGGTAGCCCTGCCTCAGACAGCAGAGACAGGCTCACCGATAGGGAGACAGCAACAAGCCTCACTGCTCCAGAAGCTGCATGACCCAGCCTCAGAGCAGTATGCCCCACGGGGAGGGGCTGGAGGTAGACCCTTTTCTTTATTTTCCCACAGACGCCTCTCTGCCATAAGGGAAGAAAGAGGGGAGAGGACTTTTCTTTTGTTTGCTCCAAGAACCCCTTTAGGTGTTTGCTAGAGTGGGGAGAGAGAGGCCATATAAGGACTTGAAGTGGGGTCTGGAGGGAGCTTGAAGGGACTCTTCCCCCTCTACCAGAGGGGAAAGAATGAAGCTTTCAAATTTTCATTACCAAAAACTGCACTGGGAGAATTTTACAACTCTCTGTTTAGTTTCTGTTAAAAAAAAAATAGAAAACTTGGTTACTAGTGATGCATCACTGAATGCCATAGTCAGGGAAGAGATCTCTGTAGAAAAAAATTGCTTACAAGAAAAAGTCTGACCTGATACATTCATGAGATTTGAATACTTTTAACCTTTTACTATATATAACTTTTAGAACCAATTTGGAACCTAGTCCTGCACAATTAGAGTCAGGAGCAAAACTTTTATTCTAGACCAAGGTATTTAGACACCAGGGTGTGGTATAAGAAGACACATCATGTATTTTCAAGAATGACAAAAATGGTTGAGAGCACAAATTACTGTCTGGTGAGATGGACAACCACTCAGCAGGCCTCATTTGCACCTTGTGCACCTTGTGTATAATCATTTGCACCTGTGAAAAGTTGGTATATAAACTGCTACTAGCTCAGAAAAGTGGTGTTTTACACCCACTTTTCAGAACTATAGATGACTACACAACATGCAGTGCAAAGGTATTGAAAACTTTACAATAAAGAAGAAAATGAGTGAATAGAAGTTCACAATTAAGTGATATAATTCAATATCATATGGAGAACCACCACCAGTGATTTAAAGCAATTGTGCCACTTTTTAAAAGAGAGTTTGGCAAAACAAAAATCTGCTGCTCTCTATTTTGTCTTTTCTGAACCATATAGCTACTGCTGCTTAAACAGTCTCTGGCAAAACTGTAATACAGTAATTGACACATCACTAATGGTTACTGACATTTTTTAAAGACTCTTCTATTGCAAAATCACAGAGTGGAGTAGAACAAACTTATCACATTTTGGCTTCTAATAAATAAATTAAATATGCATTTACAACTGCAATATCAAAACACCTGTTTTCTGATGCATTCTGTGAGCCTTTAACAGACAGGAAACATTCAGAAGTACCATTACAGAAGCTAGACACTATGGCAATTGGCTTTACAAAAATATCCAATGGTGAGCTGACTGCCCTTGAACATTTTAGCCAATTATTGTGAAGACTTGATAGTATACCAAATCCTTCAGGGGTTTTGCTCCCAAAAGAGTATGTAAGTGAATAGTTGAAGAAATGTCACCATGAATTTGGATACTTTTTTTTTTTTTTTTTTGACTGATGGGTGAGTAATAAAAGGTCCTCTGGCACATCAACGTAAAAGAATATTGCATCATGCTTGGCCAGAATCTATTTAACTGTAATGCATTCTAGTTACTAAAAAGATTTTTCCTTAAATATAAGTGTCTTGTTTATAATAAACAGCACTAAACACTTCAGTGATGTCACAACCCACCGTTTTTGACATCTGAATTCTCCAGCATGAAGTGGTGATTCAATAACAAAATACTGAGCTGTGGCATAACTAAATAAACACGGCAGGAGGAGCAGACTGAATAGAAAGGAGAAGTCTTATGCTTGGTCATAGATATGTTGTCAAAAAGCAGCAATGATGAGAAAGAACACAGAGAAAAATGACAGGTCTATTTTAATTTGCCTCAGTGTGACACAGGAACATTTTAAGAAGGAGATGTTTTCCTGTACTCTCTCTGCTGTCCCTTCTGCACTACAATACAGGCAGAGGGAACTTACCTGGTGCAATCTGGATCTGTGAATGTTTTACCAAACACTAAGGTTTTATTGCACAAGAAACTCTATCAGCTCATATCTGACATTAAAACTCTTAAAGGAGCTGCTGCTAACAAGACCAAAGCTTGAGTAAGGAAAATATAATCTGTCTATGCTTGAACGTGCAATAAGTGGGGAGGCATAGCTATGGCCTGTAGTCATGCCAATGGACTGACCATCAGTGTGAAATTCATGGGGAAAATGCAACTTATTATATAAACCATTCCGCAACAGATGAAGTTACTCATCCTTGCTATATCCAATTACCAATCCAAGGCACAATTAGCAAGCATTTTTTCCATTTTGAAAGTACGAGCAACATGAAAGGTAATTCCTTATGGGGGTAATTTCTTACCCTATCTAATTTGCACTAAATTACTAGGAAACCCACTATAAGTGCTTGAACTGTACACATTGTTCAGAAAGCAAATAAATACACTATTAAAAAATCCAATGACACAAGTTTACAAAATGTACTTTGTTCGTCTATTTTTGCAACTGAAGCTTGGTTTATAACAGTACGTCACAGCATAGTGGCATCAGTAAATGTGTGATAGCATA